AAAGAGCCCGAAGCTCAAGAGATCTTGAGGTAAAAACATTGTCAAATTGTAAAGATTAAATGCGACTTCAGAACAGTTCAATCAAGAACATGTCCTAAACTCGGGGGCCTCATGTTGATACCCAATTTGACTCCTATTAATTAAGTAACAAAGGAAATAATAAAATACGGCTCGATAACCGAGGAGCCGGAAATACGAGATAAATGAATATACAAATAGGTACGCAAGGTTGATCATCTAAAAGGCGACCGAGTCCCCAGATGGCGAGCCTGCCCGTTTCCGAGCCGAATAGAATTTCAAGAACCAACCCCCGGTAGATGTCCAATTGCCGACAATACAAATGCCCGTCGAAACTGGAAAAAGTTATGAGCGAGCCATCACGATGACTATTTTACATTAAATAAATAATGTACTATTATTTGACCACTTGCAAGATTGTGGAACATGTATATATATGTAAAAATAGGAGAGAGAAAGGGACTCTTCTTCATTCTCTCCTCTCGAAACAACAAAAAGGAGATTTCTCTCCAAAATAAGGAAAAAAATACATTCATTCTTACCGCATTTGTTCTTCATTTTCCCTACAAAAAATCGATTATTATTTAACCGTTGATCGTCCGATTTTCGACATCAACAATGCATTTTTTATAATTCTTGAACCAGAAGCAATGCCTTCCCATCCAGGAAGCATATATGTGAATCATAAATCAAATCTACAAGTAGCCAACACATTTTGTGTTGGAAATTCCTTTCTCACACGACAACATGGTGCATCTATTTGAGATACCTTTGCACGTATATGAGTTCCATCAATAGCACCTACACAATCCCGACATTTTATACTAGTATTAATTAATGAAAAAAATTACTAAATTTATTCATTAATGACAAATAATTACCTTAAAATAAGGGTAGAACCTACTACTGTTTTATATTTTGTGCTCGCTGGAGAGCTATCCACGCATTGGGTCGCACTGGAGTAAGCGTCGGGCCGCGTTGCACGCTACTGGACCTCGCGTGTTGTTGGAAGCTGAGCTGGGACAGAGGCTGAAGCTATGAGGAGACGTGGGCCTCACATGCTGGATGCAGCCCGCATGATGGAGCTGCCTTGCACCGGGTTTTCTCACGTTGGATTATGCATGCTGGGCCTCCTCCCCATCTGGATCATGCGCGCTGGGCCTGACTACACTGGGCTGCGTGAGTAACTTGCCTGGTGCGCTAGGCTTTCTAGATTATAGTCTTCAATTCAAATTTGTTGGTGATTTTCATAAGGGGTGCCATGTGGGTCGAGATCGCTATGTTGAATTGGTGCATCTTCTTTTTTCATGGACGTCTTTGTGCTGTAAGGTCACGCGATATATTGAGCGTTGTAGGCCTTCTTTATCGTCCTTTGTAGGCTGCCTTCAGTCATGTTGTGCCATTAGCATGGATTTTGTGCTTGGCTTACCACGCACGCAGCGTGGCCATCACTCAATTTTTGTGGTTGTTGATTGCTTCTCCAAGTTTGTCCATATTATTCCCTGCAAGCGCACGAGTGATGTCGTTCATGTGGCACAACTGTTCTTTTGGGAGGTCTATCGTCTGCACGGGTTGTCGTCGTCTATTCTGTCTGTACGTGACCCTTGCTTTCTCAGTTTCTATTGGCATAGTTTGTGGCTTCAAGCTAATACTCATCTGGATTTCAGCAACGCATATCACCCGTCAACATGCAGACAAATTAAGTTTGTTAACTAGTAGCTCGGCAGTACGTTGTGATGTTTGGTTGTCTGTAATTTGTGTAGTTGGGATCTTCGGCTCAATTAGGCCGAATTTTCGCATAACTCAGACATCACTCGGGCTTCACGTTTCTCTCCTTTTCAGGTGGTCTACTAAGTCCAGGCGCGCGGACTTGCCGACTTAGTGTCCTTGCCATCGCCAGATCGTGTGGAGAAGCGAATAGAAGAGTTCATGGTGGACTTGCGTTGGTGTTGTAAATATTTTTAACCAGAGTAGAATCCAAAGATTCGACACCGGGTCGTATCACGAGGAAGGTTAGCCGGATTATTCTATGCGAATATTCAATCACACGAAATAATGAAAAAAGTCCTAAACACTCTAATTCAAATTTTGGGGGTTTGATTATCAACTACGAATAATAAAAACAAACTAGCGATTTCAAACCTGCAAATTAAAGTTTAAATTCGAATAATGATAAATAGGGCTAGGGTATCGGGGATATCGCTTCCGGTTCTCAAAACAATTTACGAACAGATAATTACTCGACTAAAGGACTCATGAACTAACTTATCTAGATGTTCATTCTCAATATCTCACGAAACAAAAGAATAAACGTAAACAAATCAATAACGAATCAATTAGACTATAGACAATACGTTACCGAACAAGTCTATTCTTAACGAGCCTAGGTCGAATGATTTCTCCCCTTTCGGTTTCGAAATCGATTAATTAGATTAAGATGGTGATCAATCATCTAAACCCTAGGTTAAACACAACTCGAAAAGATAGAACAATTAATCAACACATAAACGAAATCGAACCGGAACGATTATCCCCTAACCCTAGCTATTGGAATTAGCTAGGGTTAGGGGAACGTGATCCGTTGTGGTCGCCCTGCGCGGCTAGGGCCGTTCAACAGTCTCGGAACCCGACGAGGTATCATGGGTCTTGTTCACTGAAGTGTCCAAAGGGCCGTTACGTACCACATCCTTACCACGACCGGCAATCTTGTCCCGCTTCAACAACCCGAGGCTAGCTTGTCCATGTGTCTTTTCGGTCCCCGAACTATGGCGCCACTCGCGCCTGCTCTTATCCCCCTTATGTCGTGATGGTTGCTTGGTCATGGATCCCTGGCCGCGTGTGGAATGAGCTCCGAATTCAAAAAGCGGGTTAGGGTCCCTGGCATCCTCACGGGCCAACAAGGTAAATCGAGACCCGCTATTCAAATTTTTTGATCCCGTATCTCGCCGCGAGTATGGCTTACGGACTCGTTGGGGAACTTGCATCCACGGTCCATACTCCGGTTCATCAATGGCTGCGATCTTGTTTTGACGGTCCGCGGAGGAGCTCCCGGCTTCTCCGGGAGGTTGGGCCGCGGGAGTGGGATTAGTACCCGTATCCTTCATGTGCTCCGTCGGCAAAGGTGAGTGTAAGCACGTGGTACTCGAGTGGCCAATCCGCCCACAGTGAAAGCAAATGTTGGGTAAGTTCTCATATACCACAAGTTGGTGTCTCCCATTGATTGTGAACTGGACACATAACGGCTTAGTCAAATCGACTGTAACCGCGAGCCGGGCATACTTTCCTCTCGTCAAAGCTGCGGTTTGCTGGTCAACTTTGACCACTTTGCCCACAACCCGACCGATCGTGCGAAAAATCTTGT